GATGTGGGTGGCACTGAGCACCTGGCAGGACTCCTGGCGAACATGCTGTGTTCTGTGAAGTAAAGGCAGAGCATCCCCTCCTGTAGACAATGATCCTCCAAGGCAGCATCTCCTCTCCTCTCTTCTTCTCTCTCTTCTCTTCTCTTCCCTTCCCTTCTTTTCTTTCCCCTTTCCTTCTCTCTTCTCCTGTTGTTTTGTATTTTATAACTTCTGTTTCTTCTTTCTATACCTCTCAGCACCCTCTAAGTTTTGTGACCTTATAGTTACAGAATAAAATAATGGTTGTTTTTTCTGGATTTATACGCATTATGTTTAGGGTATTCAAGGTGACCCTCATATAGGTGCATTATAGCTAAGTATTCCAGTAAAATGATTCCAAACAAATAAGCAAAGGAAACAGACAAAGGGGAAGTAGTCTGGAATGGGCCAAGTGAAAATTTCCAGGCGTTATCTCAGCAACTTCACACAGGAAGTGCTTAATTCCTCTTAGTGGCATGTGACCACACATATGACATGCTATATACCAGTGAAGTTAACTGGAACCTAGACCTGGGCTTGTTATGCTGATACCCTCCAGATAACATACACAAAAAATTCTGAGTTCACAGGAAGTCAGGTATTCAGCACTTTAGAGTATGATGCTTGTAAGAACTATTTATTTATTGAATCACCATGATAGAGCACTACAAAGCTGATCATGATTGAGCTTTAGTCATACAATATTCCAACACCCATCCCTCCACCAGTGTAATTTCCCAGCACCAATATCTACAGTTTCTCTCTCACCCCTATCATACCCCTCCACTCAGCCTGCCTCTAGGGCAGGTACCTCTCTTCTCTCCCTCACTTTCTCTTTCTCTCTCTCATTTTAGGCATTAAGGTTTGCAATACAGATGCTGCAAGGTTATCATGTATATCCCTTTACCTACTTTCAACACTCAGTTCTTGTCCAGAGTGGTAATTTCCAACTATTATTGTCATACTGGCGTATGTTATCGTACTCCTCTATTTTAATTACCCCCCCCCCCACTCACACTTGTGGTAATTTCCAACCATTGACCCATCCTCCTGGTCCCTCTTTGCTCTGACCTTGAATATTAGTCTCATACTATTTTTATATCCCACAAATGAATGCACTAATTCTATATCTGTCACTCTCTTTCTGAGTCATTTCACTTAGCGTGATACTCTCCATGCCTGTCCACGTATGGGCAAATTTCATGACTTCATTTTTCCTAATAGTTGTGTAGTATCCCATTGTATAGATGTGCCATAGTTTATCCATTTGTCTGTTCTCAGACATTCAGGTTGTTTCCAGATTCTGGCTATGATAAATAGTGCTGCAATGAACATCGGAGTGCAGATAGTATTTCTGCTGTGTATTTTTGGGCCCACAGGGTATATTCTCAGAAGTGATATTTGCTGGGTCAAATGGGAGCTCAATTTCTAGTATTTTGAAGAATGTCCATATTGTTTTCCCAAAAGGCTGAACCAGTCAACATTCCCACCAGCAATGAATGAAAGTCCCTTTCTCCCTGAATCCATGCCAGCATTTGTTGCTTGTTCTTTGGGATGTGTGCCAGTCTCTGGGGGGGGGGGGGTGACATGATATCTCATTGTTTTGATTTGAATCTCCCTAATGATTAATGATGTAGAGCATTTTTTTTTGGCCACTCGAATTTCTTTTTTGAGGAAGTTTCTGTTTATTTCTTCTCCCAATTTTTTGTTAGGGTCAGTGTTTTTTCTTGTACAAACAATTTGGACACAGTAAATAAACTTATCAATTAGAACAATGGAGCAACACTTCCCAAATTTCAATTTCCTTACACCAGATAATTGTTGGCAAATATTCTCTATTCTGTAGAAGCCTTTTTATCTTGTTGATTATGTTTTTTGTTGTGCAAGAGCTTTAATTTGTTAGAGTTTCACTTGATTATTTTGCTTTTGTTCTTTTTGCTTTGGGGTTCTTTTTTTATCATTTCTGAGGCCAGAGCAATAGAACAATTGGCCAGATGCTTGTCTTGCACATGGCTAGCCTGGGTTCAATCCCTGGCACCCCAATATAATCTCCCGAGCCCTGCCAGGAGTGATCCCTGAGCTCGGAGCCAGGAGTAAGCCCTGAGCACCAATAGGTATGACCCCCCAAAACAAAAAAAAAACAGTAACAATTTTCTTATTAAGACACTGTGATTTACAAAGTTACTTATAGTTGAGTTTTAGGCAAACTGTGTTCCAGCACCAGTCACACCAACTTCCCTCCACCAGTGTTCCCGGGTTCTGTCCCATCCAGCCCCACCTCACATCTTGCCTCTTTGATAAACACAATTTTTGTTTTTGGGGGGCCACATACAGTGATGCTCAGGTATTACTCCTGGCTCTTCACTCAGGAACCCCTCCTGGTGGTGCTTGAGGGACCACCTGGGAAGCCTGGGATCAAATCCGAGTTGGCTGCATGCAGTGCGAACACCATACTTCCTGTACTATCACTCTGACCCCAATAAATACATTTTTAAGTTTGGTTGCTGTTTTTTGTACCTCCTGCTTTCATTGTTATTGACTCTGTGGTTTGGATATTACAGCTATACCATGCCTTTGCACCACCAGTGTACCCAAGGTCCTTGCCCCTTAACCCTCCTTATCTTATTTCCTGTCTGCCTCTTCTTAGCTAACCTTAATTTCTTTTCTTCTCCTTATTTTCTGGGGTCAGGGTGATTTCAACTGACACAGCTTTTTAAGTAGCCAGGAATCTGAATCGCTGAAAGTACTACATTTCTTTGTTGATCAGACCTAGGACATCTATCATTCCTAGCAGGATTGATAGGGATGTTAGGGATCCAGCTGAGATCAGCCCGTGCTGAGGAAGGAGCAAGAATGGAGACACAAGGGCCAGAGTGATAGTACAGCGGGTAGGGCGTTTGCCTTGCACACGGATGACCCAGGTTTGATCCTCAACACCCCATATGGTCCTCTGAACTTCAGCAAGAGTAGTGCAGAGCCAGGAGTAACTCCTGACCATAGTTGGATGTGGCTCAAAAATTTAAAAAATTAAAAATAAAAGAAGGGAGATACTAAGCTCCCTCCAAGTATCCTCAGCCTATAACCTAGGCCTCAGTACTGTAATGTTATTTACCCCATCCCCACTTCTAGCACTGTGGTGTATGCTCAGGCAGAGTCCCTCACACCTGTCAATCATCAGTGCAGGAGGGCAAGAGACCATCTGGAAGGTTCTTTGAGGGTTGAAAAGTCCAGCTCCTAAATGGGGACCCTTAATGTCACACTCTTGTCTACATCTCTGTCATCTACAACTACTGGAAGTGACAGGTCTCGGACTGACCTGATCTGGACAACTGCTGTGGCTGTGCTGGAGACACCCTCCCCAGAATGTGTGTATGTGTATGCACGTAGACACACATGCGCGTGCGCACACACACACACACACACACACACACACACTCACACATGTCTTCTGGAGTGAGGGAAAGCCTTACACGGCTGCAGACCCTTGAAGACCTTGGTCTTGTGGAGATCTCCAACTGGTCCTCTCATTCCTGGTACAAGGCCACCCACTACCAAAGTCTGGGGGCGGGAGAGCGGAAGTCATGGTCCTGCCCTCGGGCTCTGGGATGCAGCTATAGGATCAAACATCGGAGAGAGGGTGGGTGGAGGGACCTTGAGATGGGAGAGATCACAGTGAGACATTCTGTCAAGAGAGAACAGGAGGGGCCGAAGAGATAGCACAGTGGGTAGGGCATTTGCCTTGCACACGGCTGACCCAGGTTCGATTCCCAGCATCCCATATGGTCCCCTGAGCACCGCCAGGAGCAACTCCTGAGTGCAGAGCCAGGAGTAACCCCTATGCATCGCTGAGTGTGACCCAAAAAGAAAAAAAAAGGAAAAGAGAGAGAGAACAGGAAATTTCACAGAGCACAGACCCATGAGCACCCCAGAGGCAGGCCCAGCAGAGTGGGTGGCAGTCTGGAGGGTGGGGGGCAAAGAGAGGGAGTCTTGGGGGAAGCCAGAGAGCTGCTGTTGATGTAGGATTTAAAGTCGTGTCCCTGAAGCAAGTACCACCACTGGCAGAGCAACGGTTCTCTGCCACCCCAAGTTTCTCTCCCTTTTCCCACCAGTGCCCACTCTTCACAGGAAGTGGCCCACAGTGGGGAGGGGAAAGAAGCCCCGGGTAGGGGGGAGGGAGTGGGTAGGAAGCAAAACCCTGTAGGGGTGGAGGCTGCTGCACCCCAGCTCCTGCCTTGTCCTCCTGCTCCTTGCCAACCACTGTACTGCCATGAGGGCCTGGCCTAGCCCAGTGGAATTCTTTAAAATCATGGCCTTCTCAGCTGGTCCTACCTGAGCCAGACTCTAGTGGCCAGTTCTGAAAAGAGGTATCCAGCAGGGACAACAACGAAGCTGGATGCCCATTTTCACATGTACTGGTGGCGTGAGCTGAGACCAGGCCAACTGGCATGTTAAGAATCAAACCTGGGGGCTGGAGCGATAGACAGGGTGTTTGCCTTGCACGCGGCCGGCCCGGGTTTGATTTCCAATATCCCATATGGTCCCCTGAGCACCGTCAGGAGTAATTCCTGAGTGCAGAACCAGGAGTAACCCCTGCGCATCGCCGGGTATGAACCCCTCCCCGCCAAAAAAAGCAAAAGAATAAAATCTGGATGTAAAGTTGGTAGGTTTTCACCAGGCATAAGGACCAACGTGGGTTTCCTGGGAATGAGCTCTAGACCAGCATTTCTCAAACTCAGAACCAGATGGAAGCCCAGGATATTCCACAAGGGAGCCACTGGTGAAAACTGCCTAAATGAAAGCCATAGCACAAAACTAGGGGACTGTACAGTAAGGCAAGGGGGACACAGGAAGAAATTGAGGTTGGAAGGAGATCTCCGTAGAAGATTGAGAAACTCTGTTCGTGCCTAATTTCTGGGGTCAAATTTCTGGGGCTCTGCTGTGGGTCTGATTTCCAAAGGGCAAACTGTGTCCGGAAAGCATCTTTATTGAGAGAGACATCCCGTGTCCTTGGCTCTGCCAGCACCATAGGTCATGAGGATTTCGATGTCGAGCTGCAGCCGGCTGGCCTTGACCTCATAGCGGCCCCGGATGAGGCCCCGGGTCTGGCTGGCATGCCAGCGCCAGTGAGACTGGATGACGCGCGCTGCTTGGCGCGTCTGGAGAAACCGCCTGCGGGCCTGCCACATTCGAACCTGCGCCTGCACCTTCACCACGGCCCACTCCTGGCACGTGTAGAGTCTTAGCGCCAGGCGCCGTCTTTGCTCCAGCATTTTGGCCTGCACTGACCTCCACCAGCTCTGGATGACCCACGCCTTGAGCGCGGCGTGCAGTAAGCCCTGGCGCACCATGTTGCCTCGCCACCATGACTGAATCATGACGGCTGCCTTCTCTAACTGGTCAGAAGGAAGAGCACAGGGAAGCGGAGTTGGGGTCATCTCCCATCTCTGGCTCCACCTCTGATGCAATGAGGAAAGGGGCCCTGGGCCAGGACACCTGCCCTCTCATTTCCAGAACTGACCCATCTCATGTCCACCTCCTGCCCCCACCTCCTCTCAACACACCTTTAGACACTGCTCATCATCTGGTGGACATGTCCCTTCTGCGTGGGCCTCAACCACATTTTCTGTGTCCATGGCCCTGGTCTTCAGAGACCTCTTGTCTACCAGTTAGGCCACCCTAGTCTTTAGCCCCACCCTCAACTGTTAGTCACCCCCTTAGACTCCGCCCACATGTACCCAGGACTCCCCTTTTCATTCCTGTCCCTGCACAGTTTAGCCACATCCCTCTCTCCTCTGCTTCAGCTTGTGTGTCCTTGTGGATTCGCCAGGGGTGGGCCCCACCTTTGCCTCTTGCCTTCCGTTCCTTTCTCAGACCCAACCTTAGGTATCTTAAGTCTTGGTTTTTCTGCATCTTCCAGTCACTCTTTTCTGTTCCTGTTGATGACAATGAAGAGAGATTTAGATGGCTTTGTTCCAAGTAAGGGGCTTTCCTCTAGGAGTACTTCTAGCCAAGATGGGTTTCCAGGATGTAGGTTTCGGAACAGGAGAATTGCCTGAGCGCTTTGCTCAAGTTGTTATGTTTTGTACAGAATCTGTAAAACCAAGATATTTTATTGTTGTTGTTGCTTTGGGGTCACAGACAGTGACGTTCAGGGCTAACTTCTGGCTCTGTGCTCCGATCACTGCTGGCAGGGCTTTCGAGAATCAAACCCCGGTTGGCTACATGCAAGGTAAGTGCCCTAGCGGCTGTACTATCTTTCTGGCCCCAGAAATGATGATATTTTAATAGCAATTGGAGAGTGCCTCTCTCTCCTCTGGCTCCCTCTGGGCACATGGCTCAGAGGACATAGTTAGGGTGATAAAACAGGAAAGATTTCTGCATTTTGTGGACAGCTCTGAGAACATTCTCACAAGCCACTCTGCAAGAACTGACTTCCAGGAGTATCCTTGGTGGTTTCTCCATCTCTTACCTGGATCATGCTCTGAAGATGTGGGATGTGGCCACAGACATGCTTCTCTGGTAAGATGGACACTTTCGAGTGCCTGGCAGCAGCGTTTGTGCAGGGCAGGAAAAATGAGGTTTGAAAAATATGGAGAAAAAAAGCTGTTCTGAAGACAATGCTCCTGTTTGGACATGTAAAACTATAAGTGGAAGATTCTGCTCTGTTGATATCTAATTAAAATTGAAATTCTATTTTTCCAGAGAATGTACTTGATAATGCAAGGATAGCACTGTAAATGTATCCTTCTTTTTGGTGTGAATTTTATGAAATAGAATTTAACAGAACCAGGGAACCAACCAGCAGATTTGCCATGAACAGTATGTAAGTCAGCATGTGAAATTATATTATATATATATGTGTGTTAAGTTTAGTAAGTTTCTGTAGATAATAAAATTATAAAATCATTTTATAAAGTAATAAATGACGGGCTATGAGCTCAAAATGGAGGGAAAATATCAGAGGTGTGATAGCCAATTAAACATAATGCTTGTGATATTTGTCAACTTTAAATGTTTGGGGACTAGAGAGATAGTACAGGGATTAAGGTACCTGCCTTGTCGCAGTCGTCTCCAGGGGCATTGCCAGTGGCACAGCAGGGCCCAGGGAGCACTTGGGTCCCCTCACTGAACCACTGGCCTGATTGGTCCAAAAATTGCTAGAAGAGAACTCCAGACACCACGTGGGAGACTTCCCCACCCCCCGATTTTTTTAAATTCTTTTCTCATTCTAAATAATTTATAGCTAAAATTTTATGTTCTTCTCCCTCCCCCTCCCCTTCCTGGTTACGAGGACAGTGGGTTAGGAGGTAGGGTTTGTTCACAAGCTGGCTACAGTACTCATATACTGCACTACAAGCTGTGGCACTCACTGATACTCGACTCTGCGTCCTGGTATTCTCACACTCCATTGTGGCACCAGGAGTCCCAAATAGCAGAAGTTCCCGGACCATGTTAGCACCATGCAGGAAAGTGCCAGGGACCAAACTCATGGCCTCGGGATTGCCAGGCTGCAAGGCGAGCACTTTGGCTACACTCCACGATACACAGGGATTACTCCTGGCTCTCTGCTCAGGTATTACTCCTGGTGGTGCCAGGGAACCACAAGAGATGCTGAGGATCGAACCCGCGTTGGTTGCATGCAAGGCAAGCACCCTACCCCCTGTATTATCTCTCCAGCTTCCCCTTGTGTTCTTTTTTTCTTAAAGTAGGTTTCCCAAGTGATTTCTTTTTTTTTATGTTTTCTTTTTTTTTTCTTTTTTTATTAGTGAAAAACCATGAGGTACAGTTATAGGCTTACAAATTTTGTGCTTGGGTTTCAGTTATACAATGATCAAGTGCCCATCCCTCCACCAGTGCCCGTCATCCATCCCCATGGGTCCCAGCATTCCCCCCCCCATCCTCCCCCCCCCCCCCGTCCCATCCTGCCTCTGTGGCAGGGTATTCCCCCTCCCAAGTGATTTCAACCTCAGACTCCACAAACCCTGCTCCATCAGGCCAAGAGGTAAGAGTGCACTGTGCACCCAGGCCTCCTGTCACTCTGGAATTTCTGCAAAGCAGGGCTCCATTTGGACTGGAGTTGCGCCAGCAGGTTATGTGGAAATGCTGGAGGCTCTCAGGCTCAGATATTGACCTGTGTGTCACTGCTTCTTTTTCTGCATTGAGCTTGCTGGGTGTAAAGTATAAACTTGTGTGGCAACAAGCTCTGTGACTGTGTGGGTGATGCCTTATGCCATCACCTGTGCTACTTGCCATGGCATTGTTCATTATGAAGTCTGACCATTTCTGGTCCTCTTTACAACCAAACATCCTCTCTGAATCATGTCAAAAAGGAGGCTGGGGAGATAGCTGAAAGGGCCTGAGTGTATGCCTGGCATGCACAGGGCCCCAGGTTTGATTCCTGGAAATGTGTTACCTCCCAAGTCACCACTAAGTGCTCCACTAAAAACCCCTCCAAAACCAGTAACGATCAGTAAGCCATTCAGAATGAAGCCTGTTGCTACTTTTAATGACTGTCAGCCTGCTAAGCTGACAGCAAGAACTAGCCATCTTAAACACTTCCTGTCACCGCACTAAACCTCAGGTCCTGGTGTCAGGCATTCATTCCCAGTCCAATGTGCTGAATCATGATTCAGGGTAGAGATGTGGTCAGTGTTGTGGTCCAGCAGGTGCTGAAGTTAAGATGCTACTTCCCATTGTTGAATCTCTAACCTTCTCCACTCTGGCCTTGTCCCCATAGAAATTCCTAGGGAGACAAATCTGCCATTTTCCTAACCCCTTCACTGCCTCTCCCCCCCCCCACTTTTTGGGTCACACTGAATACTGCTCAGGTGTTACTCCTGGCACTGAACTCAGATATTACTCTTGGTCGTGCTCAAGGAACCATCTGGGATATGTCGAGGATAGAACCCAGGTTAGCCTCATGCAATGCAAATGCCATACTGGATGTACTATTGGTCCAGTCCTCTGCCATTCCCTGTTATGTCCATGCTTTGATAGTTACTCACAAAGTGGCAGCAGCTGGGGTGAAGGGACAGAGGAGCTGCCTGGATATTAATGTTTCTACAGAACACCATCCCTGTGTGTGCATTTCCTCACTCCCTAGCTTCTGTTATTTGGCTTTTTTTTTCATTTTTGGGTCACACCTGGCGATGCTCAGGGGTTACTCCTGGCTCTGTACCCAGGAATTACTCCTGGCGGTACTCAGGGGACCATGTGGGATGCTGGGAATCGAACCCGGGTCGGCCACATGCAAGGCAAACGCCCTACCCAACTGTGCTAATGCTCCAGCCCCATGTTATTTGCCATATTTCTAATCATGTATGTCTGTGAATAAATTTTCAAATACAGAAAGAGATAAGGTAGAAAGATATTTTCCCATACATTTTCCCTCAGAGCTATTCCCACAGACTAACTTAAAACTTCTATTAAAAATAATTTACGGGGCTGAAATGATAGTATAGCAGGTAGGGCATTTGCCTTGCATGCAGCCGACCCTGGTTCAATCCCCAGCAATCCATATGGTCCCTTGAGCACCACCAGAAGCAATTCCTGAGTGCAGAGCCAGGAGTAACCCCTGTGCATCGCCAGGTATGACCCAAAAAGCAAAAAAAAAAAAATAATAGTTTATTTGGAGGCCTGGAGAGATAACATAGGAGTTAAGGCACTTACCTCTTACCTTACATATGGCTGATCCTGGTTCCATCCCTAAATACCACCAATGGTCACTCCCTAACACAAAGTCAAGAATGGCCCCTAAGCATCACAGGGTGTGGTCATTCTCTTCCCCAAATCTATCTTTAATTTATACATTTTAAGCTATAATTTCTCTGATGACTAATGTTTTCTTTGCTACATTATTACCACTCCCAAGTTGGACAAGTAACTAGGTATTTATAGACAGAGTATATTCATGAACTTCTAAGAAATATAAAACCATCTTGTGTTCTTCTATGTGTCTTCTTTAATTGAAGTAGAAATAACATACACGTGACTTTTAATCTCTTAAATACAGTGCACAATTCTGTGGCTTTTTTCCATATTCACAATGCTGTATAACCATCATCACTAATTCCAGTTTCTAATTCCATCTCATGTTTTTTATTTTGTTTATGTTTTGGGGGTCACACCCAGAAATGCTCAGGGGTTACTCCTGGCTATGAGCTTAGGAATTACTCCTGGCAGTGCTCCGGGCACCATATGGGATGCCGTGGATTGAACTCTGGGTGGTTGTGTGTAAAGTAAATACCCTGACTTCTCTACTATCACCCCAGCCCCAAATTCCATCTCATTTTAATCTACTCCCCAAGATCTTGAGATCATTTAGCCCTCACTTTCTCTTCTCACCCCAGGCCACAGCAACCACCAATCTGCTTTTAGTCTCTCTGGATTTGCCTACCTATTGCTGGTATTTTGTGTCAGTTGAATCACAGAAGCGACGGCCTTTACGTCTGCTGCTTTTACTGAGCAGGTTTACAGACGAATTCAGTTCGTCGTTTCTTTTTTTGTTCTATTGCATAAGTAGACCACATTTTGTTCATAGATTCCTAAGTAGACCAGACTTTGAGTTGTTTTCGCTCTTAGATGGTTGTGAAAACAGATGCTCTGAGACATCATGTAAAAGTATTTGAAGTCC